TCCCCGCCATCTCCACTTCCACGGGTTTAGGGCTACATGTGCACACTATATCATGCCTGGCTTTTTACATAGGTTCTGGGGATTGAATACAAGTGCTAACACTTGCACAGGAAGCATGATGTCAGCTAAGCCATCTCCCCAAGCCAGTTTTCAGATCCCTTTCAGCTTGGATATGCAAGCAACCTACAGTCTCAGCCTCATTTTATTTGGGGGTTTCACTTTTGTGTTGTTTGTTTGGATTTTGATGTTTTTCAGTCAGGATTTTATGTGGCCCAAGCTGCTTTGAAACTTGCTGTGTAGCACAGAATGACCATGACTTCATAACCCTCCGGCCTCTACCTCCCAGATGTTGGGATTAACTACAGTTGTGGGCCATCACCCTGGCCAGGGTCCTGCTTCTGAGAAATAAATCTTGGTGTGGTCCTTATTCCTCCAGACTCCACTAGATCTAGCCTCCTACCTGAATCTCCAAATGTCCTAGTGTCAGAGTATCAGCTATCTTCTTTAAGGCCGAGAAAGGGTGATGTCAGCATCGCCTGACTCGTTTGCCTCACTGCTAACTAATAGGAATCCACCCTGATTGGACAATCCCCTTCCCTCCAGCCTGCCTTCCTCTAGGCAAGTCCACTCCTCCTCAGATCAGGAACAGCCAGAAGGCCTGGGTTGGAAGGTTAGTTCCACCCCTGAGGGAGTTAGTCAAGTTCCTTCAGTCTCTGCCTCCTCCGCTCCATGAGTGGGATGTACAGGGTAGCCTCAAACTCACATTGATCCACCTGCCTCTGCTTCCCAAGTGCTGGGAATAAGGGTGTGTACCACTATTCCCAGCTCTAGACCAGAGCAACAGAGGTACTGCCAGCAGGATCTGGGCCTCTGCCTTGGGTTGGCAGGCACTTGCTGAGGCCCTTGGCTACCCACTCCTAATATGGGTCGTTATTCCTCCACTTGGACAGGGCTGTGTCTAGATCTCATATCACAAGAAGATCCACTAGTGTCAAGAATCTAAGAGTCAGCAGGGCAGTAGTGGCACACACCTTTAGTCCCAGCACTTGGGAGGCAGAGGCAGGTGGATCTCTGTGAGTTCCAGGCCAGCCTGGTCTATAGAGTGAGTTCCAGGACAGCCAAGACTACACAGAGAAACTTCATGTCAAACAAACAAACAAACAAAAAAACAGTTAAAAACAATCAGGGCTGAGGAGATGGCTCAGTTGGTAAAGTGCCTGCCAGGCAAGCATGAGGGCCTGACTTCAGATCCCAGGGCCCAGGTAAAAGCTGGGTACAGTGGTGCAGGCCCAGCACTGGAGAGGCAGAGGCAGACAGACCCTGGAGCTCACTGGCCAGCTACCTAGCTGGATTAACGAGCTCCAGGAAAGGCACAGTGAGGCCCCCATCTCAACAACTAAGGTGGAGAGATTGTGGAAAACACCCAACATTGACCTCCAGCCACCACACACACACACACACACACACACACACACACACACACACACACTCTAGATTCAACAATGAGAGCAGAGAAGTGGCATTCACACCACATTGGCAGACTCACAGTCCAGTGGCCAGTCTGCCTTTCTGATTTGGACACATTCTAATCTTGTATCCACGGGGCTTGGCCTCCTACTACTGGGTAATAGCTGAAGAAGAGGTACTGGCCCAGCAAGGGGAAGCCACGGGCAGAGGACTCCTACAGATCTTCTAGCTCAAGTGGCAGCAAGAAGACTGACGGTGGTTGACAAGTCAATGAGTGCCAGCATGAACATCCTGTGTGCTAGGCTCTCAGCAAAACATCACCCACATCACTGATTAGCTCAGTTCTTGTTCACGAGATGCCTAAGATGTAGGAACTGTGATTGGGCCCAACAGCCCAGGTTGGTCTCAAACTGGCTGTGAGACTGAGGATTTCTTGAACACCTGAGTTTCCTGTACTTCCTGCCAAGTGCTAGAATGTACAGCACACATCATCATGCTCAGCTCCCAAGAATCTTTTAAATAATCAAGACGAAACTTGTTCCAGTATAGGTCTGGACCAGAAAGAGACTGCAGGACATATAAGAACATCCTAGAAAGGTGGTAGTGATTCTAACCAGACAGTAAAGAACTACAACACCATAAGAAAATATCTAAACACATGCAAAAATGGGCAATAAGTGAGAAAAAGCTAGTATTCCCCAAAAAATATAAAAAACAAGTGAAGTGTGAAAGAAACATTTGTGCTCATAAGGGACAACATTAACACCTGGCAAAGACTCTTTGAACAAGCTTAGTGTCAAAAAAAAAAAAAAAATGCAGGATAAGAAAATGTAGCTGTCAGTTTAGGTGCAAGCCTGGTTTGATTGTTTGGAGACATTTTGGCATTGAATATCAAAAGACCTTTAAAACAGTACATCTGAACCAGTAAGCTCAGCAGATCAAGGTGTTTGCCATGTAAGCCCGGCAACCTGAGTTCCCACCCCAGAACCCACAAAAAAGTGGAAGGAGACAACCAGCTATACAGCTTTGTCCTCTAACCTGTGTGTGCCCGCTGTATCATGTGTGCCTCCCCCCATGTATCATATACCCACACAATAATAATAAATAAAATTAATGAGAAGCTACATAATTTGAAAGTATAAATAGAACATTACAAGGACAAATTATAGCCTTGCACGGTGTCTCCAAATTGATAATATTGTCTCATTAGTACAAATGTGTGCTGTTCTGACAGGACCCATAACAGCCAACGATGACTAGCCATTGGGGGTTAGACTACAAGATGACATCTATAAGAAGCTAGGCATGGTGGCACATAACTGTAATGCCAGTCCTCAGGAGGTGATGGCAGAAGGACAGGAAGTTCAAGGCCATCTCAGTTACTTATATTAAGTTCTGGGTCAGTCTGAGCTACTTAGGAGACTGGCTCAAAAGGGTGGGGGTCTAGCTTTGGCAAAGTGCTTGCCTAACATTCATGAGAGGTCCTGGGGTCCATCTCCAGAACTGGCAATAAACTGGGTGTAGTCAAACAGCAGTGACCTAAGTACCCCAGGCAGGAGGCAGGAGGGCCAGGAGCTCACACCAACACAGCAAGTTCAAGGTCAGCTAAGGCTACATGCACCTGTATACACACACACACACACACACACACACACACACACACACACACACACAGCACTGTTTGTTTTCATATCCATTAAAAATAAATACACACAGTATGGATAAAGGACCTAGCATTCATCATTTGGCTATGAAGATTCCACGTGATTTGTTTTATTTTCTTCCTTTTGCAATCACCTGCATTTTTCTTTTTCTTTTTGGTAGGGAGGTGGTCTTTGTTTTTTGGGGTTGTTTTGAGACAGGTTTTCTTTTTCTATGTGGCTTTGGCTAACCTGGAATTATGTATACTAGACTGGCCTCTTGGAGATCTGCCTGCCTGGGTTTCCCTTCCATCCCCTGACCCCAGACTCTGTGAACCTGGGTAAGTCAATGGAATCTGAGTGAGCATGCACTCCTGCAGCACCTGCCGGTTGCCCACTCCCTGTGCGTCTTCCCCCTGGCCCAGGGCTCACCTTCTGAGGAGAAGTGAGGGGGACGCTGGTCTTGCCCTCAACACTGACAATCACATCTCCAGGAACGACAATGGGGTCAGGTTGGAGCGACAGGCTTTTGATCACTGCAGGGTCCTTTCCTTCATCACAGTTATCCCAGGAGAAGCTGCTGAATCGGGAAGGCTGGGGACAACCAGACAACAAAGGGGAAAGTTGAGAAAAAGAAGTGTTTAGACAAGGAAAAAATGGAGACCTGCATGTGCCCCTCTGAGCCCCACAGTAACAGTTAACATTTGTGTGATCCATTCTTCAGGTGGGACTCCAAAGACAGTCTCCCCAAGTGTGAGACTAAGGCCCACTAAACCAGACCTTGAACTTCAAAACTAATGGGACTGGGATGTAGTTCAGTTGGTAGAATGCTTGCCTGGCATATTAGAAAACTTAGGGTCTATCCCCAGCATTGCACAAACCCAGTGTGGTGACACAGGCAGTGCGTGGAAGACAGATGCAGGAACATTGGAAATTCAAGATCATCTTCAACTAGACAGCCCATCTTAGGCCAGTCTGACCACATAAAACCCTGTCTTGGGCAGTGGAGGAGAGTCTTAGTTGGCTGTGGTGGTGCAAGACTGTAATGTAAGCACTCAGGTTGAGGCAAGATGATGGAATGTTTGTGGTCACTCTAGATCAGCCTAGGCTAAAAGGAAAGAAGGGAGGAAGGAAGAAAGGAAGGAAGGAAGGGAGAGAGGGAGGAAGGGAGGGAGCGGAGGGAGGGAGGGAGGAAGGGGAGGGAGTGGGTAGAGAGGGAAGGGAGCCGGGGACTCACCCCTGGTATAAGGAAGCATTGGCAGCTGAGAGAGGAGGATTCATTATTTGTGTGCTGGGGCAGGGGATTACTCATGAAAGGCCCACCCCCTAAACTGTGCACATATGGGCAGCACAAATTGGATTCAGTGGGTAATTAAAAGGAAGAGGAGGCCAGGCGGTGGTGGTGCACACCTTTAATCCCAGCACTCGGGAGGCACAGGCAGGCGGATCTCTGCGAGTTCGAGACCAGCCTGGTCTACAAGAGCCAGTTCCAGGACAGCCTCCAAAGCCACAGAGAAACCTTGTCTCCAAAAACAAAAAACAAACAAACAAAAAAAAAAATGGTGGGGGATTTTACTGGATATGATCTAAATACATTGCATACAAGTTGTCAATGAATAAATTAAATATTTCTTTTGTTTGTTTGTTTTTCGAGACAGGGTTTCTCTGTGTAGCTTTGGAGCCTATCCTGGCACTCGCTCTGGAGACCAGGCTGGCCTCGAACTCCCAGAGATCTGCGTGCCTCTGCCTCCCGAGTGCTGGGATTAAAGGTGTGCGCCACCAACGCCCGGCCAATTGAATATTTCTTTAGCAAATGGAATTAACCCCACCTAGCTTTGGGGAGGGGGGTACCTCCACTAATTTCCCACCCTCCTGCCACCTATTTCTCTCTAGCCAGCTTTAGGTTGCCATATGACAAGCTCCTGGAAGAGTCACCCTTGTATTGAGCCTGGTCATGACCCACCCCATGTCCAATCCAAGGCTAGCAACAATAGGGAAGACATTATCACGGGGTGGGGGAAACACAAGTAACCCAAGCCTCACCCTTCAGGGAACAGGACAAGATCTACAGGGGTCCCTCAATGATGAGCAATCCCAGGAAATGACTTTCCCATCTTACAAGCACATTCTTACTCCCATATCATGAACCACACCATATCCCCAACCTGAGTCAACCACCACTCCTCTGCAGAAGCCCTTCCCTAATCTCCCTCCATGTGCCCTAGGTCCAACTCATGTGACCACACTCATCCCAGGACCTCAGCATCTGGAATTCAGTGTACACCTCCCTTCCCCTGTCCTTCACTCTCCCTCTCTCCTTCCTATATACGCTCACACACCTCAAAGGCCATGTACAAGGACCCTCAGCATAGCCATTATCCACACCTGCTGATACTGCACCCCAGCCTGGCCTCCATCCTAACACACCCATGGCCATCTGGACCCAGGAATACCTGATCCAAGTTAGGCCACAGCTTCTCTCTGCCTGATTTTGGAATTAAGACACAAGAAGCTGTGTGACCCTATGGCATGAGGCTTGGCACTATCTTGGGTCAAAAGTTTTAATCTTGATTCCAAGAGATGAGACTAAGCCTCTTCTGTCCTATGGAAAAGGGACACAGAGTCAGTCACCCATACAATCTACTACAACACTAAAGGAGCCAGGCAGGTGACATATACTAGTAATCCCAGCACTTAGGATTTCAAATTTGAAGCCAGTTTGCACTACATAGTGAGACCCTGTCCTCAAAACAGAACAAAAAGCAACATGAAACCCAGGCATGATGCACAATGCCTGTAACCCCAGCACTTGTGAGGTAGATATAAGAAGCTCAGAAGTTCAAAGTCATCCTCAGTGAGTTCACAGACAACTTGGGATGAAACCCTGTCTTAAAAAAAAAAAAAAAAAAAAAGCATTACAGGGAGCAGGGACAGGTATGGCTTTGTAGTGCCACTCAGAAAAACTAGGCTCCAGTCCAACAGACCTGCGTTGAAATCACACAACTGCCTTGGAGTCCTGATTTCCACACCTTTTAAGTGGAGACGCTTATAGCTTCCTCTCAAGGCTGTTGGAAAGGTGGGAACACATATATAAGAACTCATGACAAGGTGTTAGATACCAAGCATGAGCTGGCTCACTAAATGACAGCCATGTGCCTCCCTGGCCTCTGTTTCCTGCCAGCAACTCCATGAGATCCCCGTGAGCCTGTTAAACTCCATGCTCAAGCTTCTTGACATGGGCTTCTGATCCCTGGAATGAAAGGCCACACTGTGACTAAGAAAGGCAGGGCCAGGGTAGGTACCAGCAGATATTTCACTCAAACCTCATTCCACAAGTATTTGTGGAGCAACTATTTCAGGCCCGGGACTAAGGGCTATGTAAACAATAGGAAGCAGTCAGTCCTGCCCATCCTTATGGGACTTATAGTCTAATGTAAATACCCAGGCTGGCAGAGAGATTGCTTAACATGCCTGAGGCCCTGAGTTCAAACCTAAGTACTAGAGGGTAGAAAAAAAGGAAGGAAAGGAGGAAGGAAGGAAGGAAGGAAGGAAGGAAGGAAGGAAGGAAGGAAGAAAAGAAAGATCAACCACTATAATCTGAGTGCCAGAAGGTGATGTGGAGAGGTGACATTTAAGATGTTCTTTCAGGATGAGAAGTCAGCCATTGATACAGACAGAGCACAAGCAAAGGTCCTGAGGTAGAAACTCAGCTGGTTCAGGCATTGCAGAACCAACAGACTAGCCACGTTAAATGAAGGAACTTACTGACACTGGAGGGGTAGCAGGCTCATTTACCATAGGCCCTCAGAGGTCACATTCAAAAGAACTGACTGCAGTGCAATAGAACACCTTCAGAAGAAAGTGCTGTGCTTGGAGAAGGATGGACTGGGGAATGGGGAGAGGCCGGCCATAAGACCAAGTGAAAGAATGGCTGAGCAGTAACCTGAGGTGAAATAGTGGGAGGCTGTTTTCCCCAAATCAGCAGCCTGATCTGCACTGTGGATTGACTTTGGGCTTAGAGAAGTTTCCAGAGTGCCCTTTTAGAATCCTCCATCCATATCTGGCGGTAGTGGCCCATGCCTTTAATCCCAGCATTCAGGAAGCAGAGGCAGGCAGATCTCTGAGTTTGAGGCCAGCCTGGTCTACAGAGCAAGTTCCAGGGCAGCCTCCAAAGCTACAGAGAAACCCTGTCTTGAGAGAAAAAGAAAAAAGAAAGAAAAAGAAAAGAAAAAAAAATCCTCCACCTTCTCCTGAGCACCTCTCCACCCAGCCCTAGGGGACTTCTCACAAGGTGTTTGCCCACTGGCAGGGTCTGGGCAGCTGCGGCTGCAGCTGCAAGACATTCCAGCACCTGAGTCCAAGCTCATAGGAAAAGAGAGGACAGAGATCAACAGTGCCTACCTAACAGATGCTATCCCAGCCTAGACCAAGACACAGGAAGAACAAGCCAGAATGTGTCAACAAAAAGATGTGGCTGAATAGGCAGAATATAGGGACAGCTACAGGCATAAGTTAAACTCACATACCCGCTGCTGCTGCTACTATCACTAGCAGGTGCCTCGGGCATGTTAACTAACCCCTGGAGGTTCAACTTCTTCATTTATCAAATGGGCATAACTAATCTTCTGCCAGGACAATGGCCAGAGTAAAAAGTCTGTACACAGAAAGCAACAGGACTCAGCTCCTAAAAGGCAGCCAAGCTCATTTAAATTTTCTGTCCCAGGCCTGAGAAGAGTGGGAAGATGTGACAGGGATGACAATATGGCACCCCAGAGCAGGTGCTGGAACAGAAAGAGGACATTCATGGAAAAGTGATGAGCCCGAAATAAAGCCTAGATTGGTTCACAGTAATGGACCCACACTGGCTTCATGGTTTTAACAAGCTTGCACTGATAGTATGGGGATCTAACAAGGGCAATTAGGTAAATACAAAGAATGCTATCCTACTCTTATAAATTATTGCAAAATTAATGTCATTAGAAAAGTTACCATAATCCCTGCAATTGAGAGATAGAAGCAGGAGGATTAGGAGTTCAAGGTCATCCTTGCTATATACAGAGGTTTAGGTAAGCTGGAGCTACAGAGAGCCTGACCCCCCCTTCCCCGAAAAAAAAATTTTAAAGAGGGAAAATCCATAGCACACAGTAGGTATACAATAAATGATACACAGTATACAACATAGAGTCTAGTAATTGCCTACTATCTGCCCAGCACAGAGGCAGCTATTCTACTGTTATCCGAGAATCGCCACAGCCCAGGGTCACAAGACCAGTCAACCATACAAGAGGAAGCCAGGGCTCCTGAGGCTCACTCACTCACTGGTCACTCCACAGACTCCTCCAGCCTATGACTGCAGAGTAGTCAGGTTCTGAGCAACAAGCCTACAGAGCCAACCTTGTAGATGACAAAAGGTAAGGCTCAAAAGTGACACTCACTGAGAGATCTTGAGTAAGTCCCTAATGCACAGAAGGAAGTTGGTGCCTATAGTGCCTGACTCCTTCCAAATCGTCTATCTGAGCCCCTGAAGTTTAATGGCAGCCATAGGCAAAGCACACATAGGAGAATGAGAAGTATCCTCAGACTTACAGTCTCTTAACTGGGCTCCACCTCACAAGGCCAGCTGTGCAAGACACCAAGAGACAAGTTGCCTAGCCTCTGGGCAAACAAAGTCAAAAGGTCCTTCCTCCCACATGTAACAGACTTCCTGCCTCTATACAAAACAAGGATAAGCCATACTGGCCTCTACCGCACTATTCTTTTGGCATTCTGCAAACATCTCCTTCATGAAAGTCCTGTGTTGCCATCACACCCATTGTACAGACAGCAGACCGAGGCTCATCCACAATCCACAACAGAAGAGGAATCAGAAGTCACCCCATCACCACCACCACTTTCACAGTCTCATCCCTTTCCCCTTTATGGTTCCTGGCTTAGACAAACCTCCCCGAGGTGGCAGAAGGGAAGGGATCTGGAGGACCTGCCCCTTTGGGCCACAGCAAAAGGCAATAGGACTGGGCTTTTCCCTCAGAATGACTGAACTTCCCTTTCCCAGGCATCTGTAGCACGAGAGCAGTAGAGAGACAAATGGGAAGTGAAAGATTGGGGGTAAAGGGAGACTCAGTGGCTTACAACCAAGAGCAGCGGGATCATAGGTCCTCGGTCTCTTGGTGGCCAAGTGTGGACCTCCGAGCCTGATTCGACCGTCCCACCGGCAGGAAGACCTCAGAGCCAAGCAGAAAACAGGGAAAGAAAATAGTGGGTAATGCAGCGAATCACAGGCTGAGAACCTGGGCCTGGGGCCAGTGCGATCGCATTGCTGGTTTGCACCCAGAAAGAATGGTAAAGAATGAAACCAGAGACGAGTCCCTCCAGGATAATCGGGACCCAGGAGCCCCTGGCTGTGGGTCTGTTTCAGGACCGCGACTCCAGGGTCAGGGGCACTTACGCGCTTGAGGCGCGCAGGAGCAGCGGGGCCCAAGAGCAACAAGCCCAGCACAAGCAGCAGCGGTACACGATGCATGATGACGGTCCTCGCGGTCGGTCTAGGCACTGCAGCTCACAGGTGCCTTTAAAGCCTGCAGGTCGCTATGCAAAGTCTGGACAGTGTTCAACGCTCCTCCCCGCGCTGCCCAGATTGCAGGCCACAGTAGGGACTTATCTAGCCACGCCCCCAGTACCGCCCACTTCAGCCCCACCCTCAACGGCCTACTGAAGGGGCAGAGCCAGTGGAGCAAGGGGAGGAGCTGAGAGCTAAGGACAAAACAGGATCTACGGGAGGCGGGGCCGATTGAGGGCGGAACTGAGGAAAGGGGAGAGGATAAGAGGGCAGGAAAGGGCCGAGAGTGAGAGACTGGACTGAGGGATGTGGCTAAGAGGAGGAAGGGGCAGGGCCGAGCGCTAGGGAGGGGCTCAATGCAGTTTTCAAAGCGCGGGTGGGGCGGGGCTGAGCTCCGGGCGTGGAAGATGGGCGGTGCTTGCTGGGGCGCGGCGAAGTGCTCCGGAAGGCTTCGCCCGGAACCTCGGGGTTCGGATTTTTTCCCCATCCCAGGCCCTTCTCTGCAGAAATGCAAAGGTCCTTTTCATTTTCCCGCTCCCGTGTACCCGTGACTCCTGGCATCTGACTTTTCATCTGCTAGGCCCCTGAGGCTTTTTGAAAGTCCGGAGATTGGCCTCGTTAGTCCAGAGGAAGCACCTGCGGCTGACGCTGCGGCGAGGGGCGGTGGCGTTTACCGCGATCCGCAATCTTTTGCTAAAACACCAGGGTTTACTTTCCAAAGCACAAACAAAATGCCAGAAATGTTAGCGTTGAAAAGACAGAGATAGCACACCCTGCCACTGCAGCAGCCGGAGCGAGGAGTTCGAAGCCTCCACTAGAGCCAAACCCCATGAACTTCGTCGCTGAAAAGAATTTCAGGACTAGCGGTATAGTGAAGCCTAGTTAGTGGTTTTATTAAATACGTTTAAGCCTGAAGCTTACGAGACAAAAATGGTGCCCAGTGTTATGGTGGAAGTTCCACCCAAGCCCCCCTCTCCTAACTCTCTCCAAACCCTACTGCATCTCAGAAAGCCCACCAAACAATGATCCCTCCCCCAGAGATGTTCAATACCACTCCCACAGGGTATTTAAACTGCCCCCCCAAAAAGAATCGTGGTTTTCCTGTCTCCCTTTTCCCGTCTTCTCTCTGGGGGGCTGGAAGGCCACCCGGGAGCATTGTATCCATTAAACTTGGGCTTTTTCTAATTTGATTTGATTTGGTCTGGTTGGGGTTGCAGCATCGGCAGAGAGGCTTATCCGGGTGTAGAAACTTTTCACCCAGAACAAAGTTAAGACACACTGGAGAGTTGATTGTGGTCTTCTCAAAGACTCCCGTTTCAAGAGTCCTCGTTCTGACTATCTACAAGATTTTGGAAGCTTTTTGGCATTCCATTTCTCCATGCATTTCTGGGAACTCCAACCCTGTTTCTTAATTTGATAACAAAGGTTACAGGTTGGCTCCAGAGGTGTTTTGGTCAGGGTTCCAAGCTGGTCAGCTAACACCAGAAGCCACTGAACTTGCACAGGGGGTGGAGTGCATGTGCTTCTTGATAAATGGGATTTCTAGTTAAGTTTTATTGTAGAGTTACAAGTGGGAATTGAGGGCAGCGCCTTAAGCAATAGGTGATTGTGCTGGGATTCTTGCTTTTCTGCTCCAACCAGATTCCAGGTGAAGGGGCTCCTTTTTTCTTCTTATCTCCCCCATATTCCCTATCTTTCTTCTGTAAGAAATAAATCAGTGTGGTTTCTCTTTGTCTCTGGTACCCTTAGAACTTCTCAGAGTCACAGATAAGCAGGAGGTTGAGGCACTTCTCTCTCCTTATTCGGTGGCTATCACCTGTTTGAAAACTGTGAGCCTTCGAAAGCTATAGGCAGTCCTGTGAAGCCACCATTAGAAAAAGGAGCAGGCTGCCCTGCCAGGCATCTTGGTACATGCCTTTAATCCCAGCACTCAGGAGGCAGAGGCAGGTGGATCTTGATGAGTTTGAAGCCAACTTGGTCTACAGAGCTAGTTCCAGGACAGCCAAGG